TTATTTCTGTGTGAGAGTTTATTTCTTCTAAATGTCTATTTTCGTAAATATATTTGCTGGCGAAAACATCTATGAATTTCGTTTTCTCCTGTAATTTAGTTGAAAATTTTATCGATTTGCCCTCAAGATAAACCGTTCGATGAGGACGCGTAAAAATTGCTTCTAATTTGAGGTGGAAGGGATATGAAAGAAATCTGTTTCTACTTCTACCTGCAAGGGGAAATGTTTATGGTTGTTTGTATGTATGTGTAAGAGAGAGACTGACAGACAGAGACAAAAAGAGAGAGAGAGAGAGACTGAAAGGGAGAGAGTGAGTTTATATGTCTGAGTGGTTACGAAGAAATACTCTGGCATCTGAGAGTATGTACGTCAATGCGTGCATCTGTGTCTGTGTGTGTGTGTGTGTGTGTGTGTATGAATGCATACTGGAAGGTATATAAGAATTTGCAAATATATTTTCATAGATTGGTTCATATCTATCTATCTATCTATCTATCTATCTATCTATCTATCTATCTATCTAACACGATGTATTCATATGTATCTATCTATCACGGTCTGTTTCTTTTTATCTATCTATCTATCTATCTATCTATCACGTTCTATTTATATCTATCTATCACGATCTATTCATATCTATTTATCATGGTCTTTTTCTTTCTATCTATCTATCTATCTATCTATCTATCTCAGTCTATTCATAGCTATGACATTCTATTCATATCTATCTATCTATCTCATTTCTATATTGGCTGACGCACGTCTATATACGATAATTGATAAAGATACATTCTAAATATATATACTTGCACACAGATACGCACATACACACGCACAATCACGTACACGTACCCACAGATACTGGGCCACACATACACACACACACACACACACACACACAATTACACTCACACACAATGTCTAACATATGCACATTGGTTTATGCACGTGTCGGATTGGGGGCTATCCATTTTTGGAATGTAGAACTTGCATATCGAGTTCAAATTGAGAGCCGAGGTTGCTCGCTTTCGTATAAATTCCCTTAACATAGGCATATATACATCTCTTCTCATTCAGTGTCCGATGTTTTCATCTATCCATGTTGTATTCGAAATGCCATGTGCTTACCAATTCCTCCAAGACCTCCTTCCTTTAATTTCTCCAAGATCTCAATAAATTTCAAACCCCGCTTTGTGATATTGATTATAAGTCTTCTTTTTCATAACTAGGCATCTTGATTTCTGTCAATTTCTCATCGACGTGGATTGGAATCTCTCTGCATTTTCTACAATTATTTTCATGGCAACTGTGGAAATGTTGGGTCACTGTGTCGTGTCAGAAAATATTTCTTGTCAGAATCCATCTTGCACCTTTACAAATCTATCCTTCGTTCGTGCATTGAATACTATTGCCATATCAGGTCCACTAATCCGGCTCGAGATTCTCGAGAAAAATCCAAAGATGGATCCGCAAGGTAATCTCGAATTAAGGCACTTTCTCACCGACATGGCTTCCCTCCGTTTTTCTACCATTATTTTCATGGAAGCTGCTCTGATGATGCTCGTTCTCCGACTTTGTGAATTTAAGCGAGCTTTTAGATTGGAATCTAGGTCCTACCCGCTTACTGTTGAAGTACCTAACTGCAACCGGCACTTTTCCTCAATTAGTTTCTTTTCTTATATTTCCCGCCTATGGAACTCACTTCCGTTTACTTACTTCTGTGATAACTACAATCTTCAAAAATTTAAATGCAATATCAATCGCCATCTTCTGTCTTCTTGAATCGCGTTCATTTTTTTTGTCTTTTATTTTTAATCCTCTCTATACTCATTCTTTTCTCTCACTCTCTGTAGCCTCCTGCGTACTGGTGACATTTTCGCCTTGCTTGGGGTGAAATGATTAAAAACAAATCTTTATGACTCTGCTCTGCTTCGACAGACTGCCGTTAAATGTTGATATAGATAAACTATCGATTTCCAGTTGCACAGATTCTACAGATAATTCCTTTTTTCCCCGAACCAAGAGATGTCACGTAATAACAATTCAATAATACACTTCTGATAATTATTATGTATCCTGTATATCTCGATAAGATTATCGACCGTCAGAAAGTGTTATTAGGCTATTATTAAATGCAAATTATATTTGAATGAAATGATATCGAACGGCGTTTACGCTTGACACTATCACGGACACTTGCATTTTGTTTAGAAGTCATAATTCAGGTTAAATATAAGATATAAAGGCGATGATTTAAACAAAATCGATGGTTCTTCACCAATGAAACCAGTGTATACAATTAAGTGGTTGCGCGCCACGTACAGTGCCACCTGTCACCGGCAGTTTGGCAATCGAATGAAATGGAAATGCTTGAGCGTAATTTCATTTAGATTAAAAGAGTTGCGATACCGGAGAATCGGTAAATCTTGCAAACGTTGGTCAGTAGTCTCTTTTTATTTCTTCTGTTACAAGAATATAATTTTCTACCAGTAGACATATTTGGGAAGGATATTAGGAATAGTCTAGAACCTACGCTGGTAGCAAACCTCTTGCTTGCGGATACATTACAGAGTAAGTATCGTACATACTCGAGTATAATTCAAATCTTATTATTATTATTTTACGCAAAATATAGTGGGGGGGGGCGCATTATACACAAGTAATTTTTTTTTGAGGAGTTTAAAAATCGTGCATTTTTAATGATCGGTTGCACTATACACAAGTAATTTTGACAAGGAAGTCGACTTATACACGAGTATATACGATATACAAAAATTAGAAAAGGGTGTAAGACAAGGTTGTGTCTTCTCACCGGACTTATTCAGTCTATACAGTGAGGCGATTCTGAATGCATGACAAGTCCTACCAGGATTCATTATTATAATCTTAATAGCATAAGATATGCAGATGACCTGGTGTTAATAACAGACACAGGAAAGAAATTACAAGAATTCCTACAGGATGTAGTCTTGGAAACCTTTTTTTTTAGAAGAAAAGATTTTGTTTGTGTTGAAAATCATGCATTTTTAGTAGCCTTTTCTTGATTGTGTGTAAAATGTCCTTTCTGTTAATCATTTTCTTTAACACTTCCTTGTTGCTTACTCGCTCTGTCCATGGAGTTCTCAGCATCCTTTTGTAGAACCACCTTTCTGCTGCCTCCATTTCTTTTTTCGGGCTTGCGGCCGCATCACGCTAAAACACTAGTTCCCACACAATAAATTAAATTAAGCAACGTCGAGCCTGATCAGTATCTAGATGGGTGACCTCTTCTGGATATCAAGTGTTGTATGCTTGTATGTGCGGGTGGTGAAATGGATAATGGCTCGGAATTGTTAATCGAGGAGCCGAGTTCCAATTCCAGTTAAGTTCGTTATATTTACTTACACGCAAATGTGAAATGTATGAATCCACATCTCCCCCAGGCATGTGTTAATTAGTAAGAATCTTTTCACTAAAACCATTATTATCCCCATTATTCCGTTCATATCTATCTATCTATCTATCTATCTATCTATCTATCTATCTATCTATCTTACTCGTTAATATCTATCTATTTATCTATCTCTCCCCCTCTCTCTCTTTCTCTCTCTCTCGATATATATATATATATATATATATATATATATATATATATATATATAATTAGATAGATAGCTGCGTTACATACTTAGCTATTTTATATTTGACCACTATATACAGTGTGCAATGGGTAAATTGTCGCCATTTTATATTTTTAATTTCACGCATGCGCGTTATTTTCGATTTTGTCGGCTGCGCAGTATATTAGAATCTGTGAGAAAAAAAGCGCTGTGACACAATTCACTTCGCTAGAAATTTGGAAACAGCATGCTGTACTGCTTGGCATTCGCACCGGAAGCTCCAATACGAACATTTCAGAGAGTTTGGGTGTGAATCTGCGGACAATGCAGGCGATTTGGAAAGAGTTGGGTGAGTTTAATGGTGATTATGAAGGTGTTTGTACAGGGCCTCAGATTCATCACGGAGGCCTACATCAAGTGCTTTTTAGAAAGTATTGCTGCCCTAGGTCTAGAGGGTAGCTGCTGGAAGATTCTATGTCTGGCAACAGGACTCTGCAACATACCACACAAAGCAGGAGAACCCAATCATGGCTGTCAAACAATTTTTGCGACCACATCATGCCTTACATCTGGCCATCTAACTTCCCAGACTGCAAGCCCTTGATTATTATGCTCGAGGCGCAGTTGAGCGAGAGACCATCAAAACTTCTTGTAACACTAAAAATGAACTAAAAGCAACTTGAGCAAGGAGACTGTCTAGAAGAGTTGCAGGAGATTCCGAAGTCGCCTGGATGCCGTGGTTGAGGCCAATGACGATTTTATTGAATAAAATTATTCTTTACTATTTCAAGATATTTTTCTGTAAATTTTGTAAATATATCTGTTAGAATGAGATGTTATTTTCATTTTGCGTCATTTAGACGACAATTTATCCATCGCACCCTGTAATATTAAATTCGTAGTGGAATTTAAAGTTTTATATTCTGAATGCTGGTGACACCTGAGCAGATAGATTAAACTCCGAACGTAAAAAAGGAAAAAAAAAATGGAAGCCCCTTTTTTTGTCTTAAATTTCAAAGCCTCAAAATAGAATATACACCCTATATTTGAATCTTTAATTCGGATCTAACGCGGCTTTGTTGGATAAAAAGAAATATCTAATAACTCGAGAAGTTCCAAAAT